TGTGTGTGTGTGTGTGTGTGTGTGTGTGTGTGTGTGTGTGTGTGTGTGTGTGTGTGTGTGTGTGTGTGTGTGTGTGTGTGTGTGTGTGTCAGTGTAGAGTCAACTGGAAGAGACAGCAAGAAGCCAAGGGCCGAATCTCTTCTTTCCCGCCCGTCTGCCCTCTGTCTCATCGCTCACAATTCCTTCTTGTACCGCCTGCAACTTCTCCGATATAGTCTCTTTATCTCCTCCTCCTCCCCTTCTCCTCCTCCTCCCTCCTCCTCCTCCTCCTCCTCCTCCTCCTCATTATTTCCCCACTTTTTTTATCATCGTCCACATCCTAATCATCTTCCTTCATGTCCTCATCATCATCCTTCTCTTTGTCATCAGCTCTAATGATGGAGAGGGAGTTTGCAAGTTACTTTGCTGATGGTTTTTTTAGGAAAATGGTGGGGATCAAAGCCAGAGGGCATGTCGCTACATCTAGAAATAGCTTTGCTTCTGTGGCCAGTTTAGGAAAAAAGAAGGGGTGAAGAAGAAAAAACATGCATTATATATGAAAACGGAATACATTTTTAAAGCGAAGAGAAAGGCTGACAAGGCAAGAATGTCTTGAGGGAGTGGGAGGAACATACAGGTAACTACAAGGTCAAAAGCAGACTCACTAATCCAGCATTTCCTTTAATCGGACTAGAGACTGGCATCTCTTGGTTGGGCACAAGATGTTGCTTGCCATGCTTGGACGTGGATATAAGGACTTCTCTAGCTTTCTCCAACAAATAAAAAAAAAATCTGACTTTACAAACAGCTGGTTAACCTTGACATCAAATGAAGGCTGAAGTTGACTTGTGTCCCTTTCAATATGTACCAGTGGCTTTTGTTGAATAATTTGTGTGATGAAACGTCTCTGTTCTGCTCAGTTCTCCATCCGTTGCCTGCAGGCTGTCCTTCTTTGAATAATATAAAAGCACAAAGCAGCAAACCAAGAATAATGCATGTGCCATCTCCCTCCACACACACCCATATTTAGACAGTCACAATTGTAAAACAGCTCCCTGTGGAAACTCACTTTCTAGGGCTCTGACCCCCGCGTGTACTATACATTGCCCCAGTCTTCAACATGCCTGTCTCTGTACATCTCTAAGTGCGTACATGGATGCTCTTCACTCCTGTGTGCTGACTGCAAGCTCTGCTGGAGACTCTAGCCTCCCTCTGGGCCTTGGCTCCGGCTCCAGGCCTCGGCGGTGTGGTAAAAGGATTACTGCCGTCTATGTCTTTTTAAACAGCCTTCCCTAAGCTTTTTAGCTCCCCATTCACTCTCACATCTTCCCCAGTCATAATGAAATCAATCTGTCCAAGAACATGCTACAGAAGAGGATAGGGAGCCAAAACGCTGTGGTTAATTACATTTTTCGGCACTGTTTCGCTTTCATCCTCTGCGTGTATTTACTTTAATCTTAGTGTTAAAGCGGGGAAGAGATCCGTGACCCGGTGACACCAGCTGTGTAGGCAAACAGGGCGGACAGACTGAGAGGGAAAGAGGTTGTTAGGATCAGTATGCACTCCGCACATCCGTAGTCTCCCTAATAACTTTTCATTGTCACTGACAGAGCTACTTTCCTTTAAGAAGCCTGTGGCAGCGTCACATTATCGCCTCTTTAATCACAGAGCAGCCAGGTGCTCCTGCCACGATCAACGTCCCATTAACCCGTCGCCTCGACTGTTTGCAAATGTATTTTCAGGTTCATAGACGGTGTCAGACTGTATTTGGCTTGTGTCAGCCGGATTATAGCCTGTCTGTCACCCAATCATGTTCCTGCCGGCACCCATTTTTTATTTCGCCTGTGTTCACCTGGGTGGAATGTAAACACTGCAGGCCTTTTTTTGTATCTCCCATTGTTTTCTAATTCTCTCCTTCTATGTTTTCCTTCCCTCCTCAGTAAACCCTTCCCCATTGGAGACAGAGTGACGTTCAGTGGAAAGGACTGTGTGTGCCAGCAGTGCTCCCGAACACTCGGCAAGCCAAATGAACCGATCAAGATCCAGGGACCCAGCCGTGAGTCGAGCATCCACCGTGTGCTACAGGGCGCTGAGTCTAATGCGATGTGTCCACCAGGCACATTTAGCTCATTTAGCTAATCGAGTGTCTGTCAAATCAGTGGTTCGACCTGTCGCGCTGATCCGCCAGCTGAGAGTCATGATACACAAACAGACGCATTATTCATTTATTGACGTCAACACCAAACATGCAGGGACTAGAGGGTTTTAAAATAATCAGTGTTCATCAGGTCACATGATCCTGCATGATTATAATGTGCAGAATATCCTGTATGAGCAGTGGTGGACAGTAACTTACCAAAGTGCATTTACCAGAGTATTGTGTTAAAGTACAATATTGAGGTTCTTTACTTAAGTATTTCCATTCTACTTATTTAAACTTCTACTTTACTACATCTCTGTAGGAAATGTTTTTACTCTACTACTTTAGTTTCTTTAAAGATTAAGATTAATAATACAAGTATAATCAACAATAAATGATAATTTATTGTTTTAGGTATAGTTTAAGAGAAAAAAAAGCTGACAAACTACCCAGCATTATATAGAGTATAACAATGTGCCTCTTTTACCAGTTGAAACATTAAAGTGATGAACACATTGATGACTCAATAATTATAATTAAATATTGTAGCAAATATTATTTAAAAATGTGCCTGTGTGCACATTGAGCACTTCACTTCTTGGAACTTAAGTAAATGCTATTATTGTGTTCTTCAGTACATTTTTGAATGCAGGACTTTACACAATGGTATTAATACTTTTACTTGATTGAACGATCTAAATACTTCTTCTTTGAGACAGTATATGGAAGAGCCCTCACCCTTTCAGAATAAAGTTGGAAAATGAAAGATTGTGATCCGTCAACAGAGCAACAGTGACTGACCGTGAATCATTTGTTAAGTGTGGCACACTGAGAGCAGGCTGCCGCTCACTGGCTGTGCAGTGATAACAGATGGTGAGAATCAGTGAGGAACTGTCCTCCCCAGATCGCTCCATTCAGGAGGATAAAATCCAAACAGCTCCCCAGGTACGTGTTCATCACTCTGTCTTATGAGGAGGCAGTGAGTGAGACGGGACACAGAGTGCAGACACTTTGTTTAATGCACTGGCTGTAACAGCCTGTTCCCTGTGTCATTTAGATTTTTAAGGATGCAAATATATGCTCCTTGTGCAAAAGTGTCAGAAATCCATTTAGCCTGCACAAATTATTATTTTCGGCATAAAGGCTCGAAAAAGACTTTAGATAATATGATAGAAAGTACAGTGTTTTCGGCTAAACCAATAAAAAAAAGTTGCAAAGAATGGCAATAAGAACTCAGCGGGAGATTTTTGGGAGAGCTTGCCATCAGGCAAATTAGTAATTTTGAAAGAAAATAAGCCGCTGAAACATAATTAGTCTTCGATTTTTGTTACCTTTGGTAAGATCCAGGCTAGCTTTTTACCCCCTGTTTTTCAATAGATGTTTTAATTGAAGTTTTGATTGAATAGAAAAGTATATCTCTGGAGGAGAAGAAAGATGGTATCCAACAAACTCTCTCAAATGTGTCATTATAGATAAATGCCTTTTATGAATGTTGCAAATATCCCACCCTAAGAACGTGACTTCAAAATGAACCAAGGGTACCAGGGAAGGGAACCAAACAGCAGTATTTCCATTTCAAACTAAACAAATACATACATTTGAATATCAAAAAGACAAATCCATTGGACAAAGGACTTAAGACGTGGTTAGGATTAGCCTAAAGACTCAGAGTGGGGAGAACCAGTTCTGTCAAACAGTAATAAAGGTAAAGCTCAATATACGGGGTCAATATTACTGTTGTTTTAACAGCTGATGTTTGTGTGGATTAAATAGCTGATGTTTAATCCACACAAACATCTGCTGTTAAAACAAGAGTAAATTAGTTTAACGGAGGTTTGTATGCTGGTGTAATACCAACAATTAAGTTAATTTATGTTGACATAGCACCAGATCACAGTTTTTTGTTTTGTTTACTTCAGAAAGTCCCATGCTAGCTGTTTCCGGTCTGTATAAACTAAGCTAACCTCCTGCTAGCTATGGCTTTACATTGAACTGACAGATCCAACTCATTGATGTCCAGTTAAAACATTTAAACAGGTTGAAAATGCCCCAATTAGTCATATATTTATTTTTCAAACTATTTCTTGTCTCAAGCTCTATTACAAGTTTTTCAGACATTCTAATACCAGTTTGATTAGTTTGCTAAAAAGAGAATCAGTATCATGACTCAGAAGAAAATCAGCTGTGCCCGATCACAGCCTGGGATCCTCGCACAATAGACTCAGCACTCACCCCAAATGACAGTTAAGATTTATCTGGACTGCAGAAACCCGAGTCAATACACTGCAGTTTTTTACTGCAAAACACCCTTTGTCTTGGCTGACAGCAGTCCCCTGTGACCACAGGCCTCCCTGAAGGGGCAGCAGACTGGGTCAGATAAGGTTAACCCAGGCTAGACGTCTTGCAAATGGAAACAAATGGAGCGCTGACCTTATTTCAGCATTTTGTCACTCTGCAGCCATGCATCATTTTGTCCCGCTGCTTTCTTGCCCTGTTAGTGGTGGTCAATAACGCCTGCTAGGGGCATCCATGTGTGGGAATCAGAATTCTAAGTGGAATTGTACATCTTGAATACAGTGTGTGTTTGTTTGAGCAACAGAGAGGGATTCATACATGTCTCATGTGACGGGGTCTTCAGCAACACTTTTCTCCCTGAGGCTGTTCCAGTGATGTTTGCTTCCTGCCTGCATTCAATCATGTTTAACGGTGCTCACAGCTGAGAGAACAAGCCTTGCAGCTCTGCAATATCCCGCATTAGTACAGCTATTGATTAAGGAGGTGTATGTGCCAAAGGGCTGGGAAACTACACTCATGAGCACAGTGGGTGTTTAAAGATGTGCAATTACACCTTGGCTCACTTTGTCTCATCTACTGCTCTCCCTGTTTACCCTCTCTACTTCATCTCTCGGTCTGAATCCTTTCCTCTTCCTGTATCCTTTCCCATTATTCGTTCACACCCTTTCTTACTGCAGACTGTGCCGGGTGTGGAGCAGAGATCAAGCAGGGTCAGTCTCTCCTGGCGCTGGAGAAGCAGTGGCACGTCAGCTGCTTCAGATGTCGCACCTGCAACATGGTCCTCACCGGAGAGTACATCAGCAAGTGAGTGTGTGAAGGGATTTCAAAGTATGTGATTCTCATGACTCACAATTGCTCCAGTATTGTTTTTTATTCTCTATGTTGCAGGGATGGAGTGCCATACTGTGAGGCAGATTACCACGCCCAGTACGGGGTGAAATGTGAGACCTGCAGCAGATACATCAGTGGAAGAGTTCTGGAGGTGAGAACGAGAACCAGATATAAACACGACACAGTTTTAAGCCACACAGAGATTGGCCGTAATTCAGAAATCTAAATTGAGAGATGACTCTGGTGACTGAGGGTAATAAGCGTTATCAAAGTCGAGCAGTGGCATTTGATCCTCGCCTCTGTTTAAGCCCCACTGTGCTTCAGGGGGAGAGCGACTTAAGATTGGCGGGTGATAAAAATGTTGTGCTGTTTCACTAAAACCAAAAGATATTCAGCTGCAGCACGTAAGTGGACGATCATTCGGTGTACATCCACTTGTTATAACTTATAGAAGCACAGTTGAGCGGATTACAGGCCTACCTGCACCAACAGGAAGCAAAACACTCAGAAGAGGATTTGACAGGAAACAAGAGTTATAAAAAGATAAGAGGGTGAAGAGTGAAGGGAAAAGATGGAAGGAGGACAGACGCATGAAGTGAATACCGCAGTGAGAGAAATGTGTGCTTAGCATGCTCTTATACACAAATATAAGAGCCAAGTAGATAGAAGGAGTCAATGCTGAAGAGAGGAGAGGAGCAGCTACAGTAAGGTGGACAGAGGGGAGGATGAAGTGAAGGGGACATAATGAGGGGAGAAGCTTTAGAAATAATGAAAGGGAACACATGCTGATTAAATGTTTCAGAAGAGTCTCTGTTGGACACACACACACACACACACACACACACACACACACACACACACACACACACACACACACACACACTGGGGTCTGGTCCCTGTGTCAGAATGGCTGGTTTAAAGGTTTTTTTTCCCGACTGTCACTCTCTGGGCTATTTATAGACATGGCAACATGTCAGCCTTGATCTTTGAGTCCCCCTCTCTCTCTCTGTTTTCCGTCTCGTCTATGTGCGTGCACACATGACGCTCAATTATTTCCTCCCGTCAAATGTTGATATCATAATGATTTGCTCCTGATGTAACTCACAGGAAGTCATGTGTCTGGAACACTTCTGTAGCTCCAGAAACATTCACTATTCATTTAGGATGAGAGTAGCATAAATTCCATATGGACGCTTTCGCAGATGCTGTGCTAATTTTGGCACGCGATTCAAAAAAGTTGTCATCTTTAATATAATCAGCTTAAGTGATTTTGATTTAGTTTGGATCTAGCTTTTGTCATAGAGAAAATAATAACTACATATTTTAACCTTGCAAAAGAATGTCTCCATATGTGAGAATGTATCGGAGCAAACTTTGAGACATGGTTGATACATTAATAACAGCAAAAGCTTGTCTCTGAGTCGAACTGAAAGTAGTTATCCCAGTAATAGCAATGTTGCCTCGCTGCAGGGGATCTACATACAGTATGGGCGAACTAGCCGGCTGACCTAACCACCCTGAATATTCATACGCATTTGCTGTGTTGTTTGCCTAAATGTCACTGCAGTTACACAAAATTATGAACTAAAAACATGTAATTCAACAGAACCACATTGGTGGTTGAACAAAATCGCATTTTGTTGATTTCTCCATTTGTCCATCTTATTATTTTTGTTTTAATTAGTTACCAAAGAAAAGTTGTGTTTTCAAAAACATTTTTGTCTGTTTTTTATTCAAAGAACTCAACGATTTTCGGTCATTATCATTTTTGTTGACAAACATGACCTTGCTCAGAAGCCACTAATGCATCTATATATCTGTAGAATCATTTCAAAGTCAGTATGCAGTTGTCCGTACAGATTTCTCTCATACATTGAAAACCAGGCTTATCCGTCTGTGTTTGTCGCTATGTTGACGATTAGCCTTGTTCTAAAGAGCCTCGCTTCAGTCCAACTTTCCAGAGGCAGTGGTTGTTAGTCTAATGAGTTTAGAATAGAGGGAGACAGGGAGAAATATAGACAGGAAGCACAAGGAAAGAGAAGCATAAAACCTCCTTTCTTTAGTTTCAATCCATTCCTCCTCCTTCCTTCCTCTGTCCTCTTCCTTAGTCTTTAGTTTGCCAATATATATATAGCAGCCTATTCATGCAACTGGAGAGAATGTGGGCCTCATTAGAAATGCTAACAGCGGTTGTTGAAATGATACCACATGACTACAGACTGTAAACGCTCAGTTGCTCGGAAAGCACGGGACGAAAATGCTACATCCTCTCGCGTCTTTCCTTTCAGAGTAACCTGAGACAAATAAGGAGAGCAGGGATTGGTTAAAAGGCATCTTAGAGACGATCAGTTTAATGGAAAGCGGGGAAAGTCGATGCGGCATGAAATGACACACATCGTAGGTGTGTTCGGATGAAACCGTCTCCTGGACACAGACCCCTGCTTCTAAAAATAGAAATCCTCTAATAGTGTGTCAGGGAGGCAGAAGTGAGGGGGCCACGCCTCAGCCGTCAGCCCCGCAGAGACACATGTGAGAAACATAAGGACCGTGAACCTAGGATTAATGGACGAAGCCAGGAGCGGCGACATCATACTGCATCATTTCATGTGTCCACTTCACCTGTTTGCATGTGTTCCCTCGGGGTGCTGTGAACGTCCAAGGGCATGTATCGCACGCTATGTCCTTCACTTACATGGCCACCTACTTTCCTCTGTACACACCCTTTTCTTCATGTGACTGACCTACAGGGATGTAATTATGTAGAATGGGGGGTGGCTATCATGTGATGAACAACCACAGGCTATGCAATGAGGTCCCGGTACATTATGAGGCCATTGGTGGTCAGGTGATATACAGGGGAAAACACATGGAGATAATGACCTGCTCATTCGCAGATCAGCCGTCACCTCTGTGAACCCCTTTATAATGATAATTTATGTTCTGTCACGCCTCTTCTCCTCTCCTCTCCTCCTCACAGGCGGGGGGGAAGCACTACCATCCAACCTGCGCCCGATGCTCCCGCTGTAACCTGATGTTCAAAGAGGGAGAGGAAATGTACCTGACAGGTGAAAAGTGATGCCAATACAAAGTAGAGTGCTTGCCGGTGACATGTGGGAACACCCCGTGCCAATCTTTCTTCTTCTCTCGCTCTTCTCCAGGTTGTGAGGTGTGGCACCCATTATGCAAGCAGGCAGCGAGGGCCGAGAGGAGACTCAGGGTGAGATGGAGTTTGAAATGAAAACATTGACACAGATTGAAAACTGTCATTTCCTCACTTTGCGTGCTCTGCCCTCTCTTTTTACTCTTTGTCTGTTTGAACCTCACAGCACAGACGCCTGTCGGAGGCCTCCATCTCTCCACCGGGCTCCTCCATAGGCTCTCCCAGCAGGGTTATATGCGTGAGTATAGCTCCTAACTTTGAAGATCTTTGTCACTTCAAGCTGCCACTGCTCCCAAGCCTGTCCCTAAAAGCAGAAACACTACCCATAGGCTTGAATGTTTAAGCACCAAGCTGAAAGGCTTCTCACTCCTTCGGCCTGTTCACTCGTCTGTGTCCTCACACCTGTTGTCATTGATGTGGCAGAGTATGCTCTTTTCCAAACGGGAAAAAGTATTAAAACAGATAACCAGTCAAATGTCGATATCCAGATCTATGATTTTTCTGTTTCTGTTTCTTTATACTGCACTACATCGCAGAGACAGTACATTGTTCAGGTTTTAGGATTTTTTGAAATATGTTTGTCAATTGTGGTTTAAAAATAACAACTTGCAAACAACACCAAAGTCACACAACTTCACGTCACCACCACTAAGCTAAGGGCATACTATTTTTCATGTAATGTGGCCGGCAACCTCTTTAATCTCATGTAGCCAATTTGGGCCTTTTTTTGTAACTAGTGGGTTATTTCCTGACACATTTTATGACTAACAGGCATCTAGCAAAAAAGCTCTTTAAAGAAATTGGCCTACACACATAGAAACTCACCTCCAGGTTTAAGGAGTCATTCCTGTGGCAATAGAAAAATAGAAAAAGTGCTTAAATGTAGCCCTGACATCTAAAAACAAGTCATATTTTAACCAAATTAGTAACATTGTTTGATGTGTGGAAATCACCAAACCTCTACTTCCTATATTAGCATATACATAGAGATAGAGGCGAGTTAGGGAAGAACAGGTTTATGTGAAGGTTGTCATTGTGCATTTAATAGTTGGACCTTTTCCATTACAAAGCGAGGCTCCGGCCAGATATAGAACAGAGCCTGTGCTGCTGCATGTCGGCAGTATTCCTGTAGCATGTTGAGGGTGGTCTGCATGCAGGCAGGAGTCTCTGCTCTGCTCCCGTCTCATAATCAATGACCTTTCTTTTTAAGGTGATGGATGAGGGAGAAATGCAGTGTCAGCACACTTGTAGTCCATACTGTCTCCTCTCTCTCTCTTGCTGTCTTTGCGTCCTCTGCTCTGTTTCTCACACATGCTGAGCTGTTGAAGGTCAACAACTTACACTGCTGTCAGCTTCTGCAGTGCACATGTGTGCTTTTGATGGGAGCACACATGTACGTGCATGTGCAGCTTGTATGTGCTTCATCAGCGCTTTTTTTAACCGCTGCATGTCCAGCTCACTGTCACCATTGGAGTTTTCATTTTACTTTGTTACTGTGCATTGTCCATGTGGTTGACGTGGGGTCTTGTTGCTGTTGTCTCTGTCTGTGGTGGGTGTTTGTGTGTGTCCTCCCTCCAGGCCAGAGTGAAGAATCAGTTCCTAGATTATAAGGACCTAGCTGCCCTGCCAAAGGTCAGAGCCATATACGAGGTCCAACCGCCAGACCTCATATCCTCCTCTTACCAGCCCTACCACAGATACACCTCTGAGGACAGGCTAGAACCTTACGGCTATGGGGAGGTACTGCTGCTACACACTCCAGGCCAAACATAGCACTGGTCTCATTGTTGGTCGGTTTGAAGGAGAATGATGTTTGAGAAGGAGAAGTGGTTGTCTTTATTACAACTCAGTCATATTTTTTTGTAGAAGTCATTATTTTCTTTTTCATAAATCCCTCAAAGATATTATTTGGATTTAGTGTAAAAATGTGACATGTAATAATGTTTTAAGAGCAAACACTTAGTTAGTTTAACAAGTTAAATATTTTTGGTCAAGAGACACCCTTTTTTGAGATCCTGACACAAATATTTTTAAACCAATTTAAATGTAAAATCCTGGAAGTTTTTCATTTGAAATCTGATTTAGAAAAAATTGATAACACTGAAGTACTTGTTGTTATTTTGTAGCATTTGTTTGAAGTCATAGATTGGTTGATTTTAGAACATACAGTACACGTACATAATTCAAATACGTTCTTGGTCAATTATTTTACCAATTCTGAATAAAATAGATAAACATTATTGGAATTACACTTATTCTCTTTCTTGTAATTATTTTTGCTTTTCTCATCACTTTATCATTGGACAGAACAAGAATAAATGTATTTCCTAAAATGCCAAACTATTTCCTCAACTGATGTTTGAATCATTACTTTATCCCATAAAAAACAACCCCATCAACTATCCATCTAGAATAAAACAAAGCATACTGAATTTCAATCATCTTTTGATCCTGTAAATACACAATATGCCACAATGTTTCTGTTGTCTGACTGTGTTAGACTATAAATGTTAACTCTTCTCTCTCCACTTATTCTCCAGTCACTTGGGACACTCTCCCCCTATTCTCAGGTAAGCATTCTTCCTGTCAGAGCACTTAAAACAAGTTTAAACAAGTGAACCGTTGTAATTTTGGCCTGTCACTTAGCCATTTGTATCCCAGTTGCCCCCTGCCCTTTTTTCACTCCTAGGTCGTCTCTTTTTTTTCTTGTCAGGACTACGACAGCCTGGATATAAAGCAGAGACGTTGCTCCAGTCCAGGTTATATTGACTCGCCAACGTATAGTCGTCAAGGCATGTCACCCACCATGCCTCGCTCTCCGCAGCACTATGCCTACCCTGGTGAGTCAGATGGTGTTCACTCCTAGTTGGCTGTTTAATGACAAGAATGTATTACATGAAGTTATTCATGCTGTACCTAATGTAAAATGCACTTGAAGCACAATAACGTTCCTGAACTGAGTATTTTTTTAAAGTTTTGGGAATGATTCTGCTGAAATTAAATAGTTTAAAAGAATATATTAATACTTTTTGGGAATATGCCTCCTTTCTGTTTTCCCAATCTTGATGTGAGAAGATCAGAACCACATTCATTTTTGTCCATTCAGTATGCAGTTACAGCCAGCAGTCAGTCTGTTAGCTTAGCATAAAGAGTGGAAAACAGGGAAAACAGCTAGCCGGGCTTTGTCCGAAAGTTAAAATATATATTGACCTAACAGCGCCTCCAAAGTCTTATCTTTATTGGGAGTTTGCCAGGTAACTAGTGGAGACTTCAAGGAGTTACTAGAAAGAAGAAAAAAAAAGCTAAAAAAACGACATACAACATATTTTTTGTGAGCCTTAAAGGGGCAGGTGCTAACTGCTAGACTTAGTCAAGCTAGCTGTTTCCCCCTTTTTCTAAACTTTAAGCCATGCTAAGCTAACTGACTTTTGGTTGTAGATTAGTATTTAGTGTACAGGCAAATATCAATCTTGTAGCCTACTCAAAATATTGGCAAAATGTAAAACAATTCCTTTAAAAGAGATAACATTGCTTGACATTTCCATACATTATATGTTAACAAATAAGCTACAAAGTAGTTTGGCTACCTCATATGCTGCAGTTGCTCTTTGGCTGTCATTTCATTTAACTCTTAAACATGTGCATTGACACTGTAACTAGGCTACTGTCATTGGAAGGCAAGTAAATAACCTTTGTAATTGCACATGTGGAATAGTTATCCAGTGTCATTTTCTAATTTATTATATGAATATCTATGCTGTTTGATTTTCATCTGCATGACTGAGACTTATGTTGAGGCCTTCCTTCATGCTCATGTTTCCTTTGCTGTGATTGGCTGTGGCTGGCTACAGGCTCTGAGAGTGGCAGGAGTTCACCTTATTACGGCCAAGAGGAGCGCTCAAGCACACCCACCACTAACCAGCCCCCTAAACATTTTCATGTACCAGGTAGGACTCGCCATCTCCTCATTTCCCTTCTCACAATATCATAGATTTTATTTACTCTGTGGGGATATTCCATAAGCCATTATTTACAAATGCATGTCATTTACTTTGACCTCCATGTGAAAATTTGGTATTTTTATACCGCAAACTATTTCTCTATCAGTTTCTCCCCCTCATACTTTGTCTTACCTTTCCTACACCAATTCCTCGTACTTCCAGTCCACTCTGTCCTTTCCGATTATCCCGCAAGAAACTCCCTTACTCTCCTCCACGTTTCACCTCTCCATCTCCTTTTTCTCTCCTCAGCCACAGGGGACCCCTACATCTACAGGAAGCCTCCCATCTATACGAGAACGGGTACAGTGTAGTTAGCCGCGCCTTAGCCTGCCTGTGCTCCTGTCAGTTTAGTCATGCTGTGTTTGAGTACTGGATGTAGATGTTTTTACTGACCTATTGATGTTTTCAAACACCCCCTTGTGATTAAGCATTTATTAGTATTGATACTGCAGTTGTCCCAGAAATCAAATCCATCAATATCCAAACCAGATCAATTGAAAATATTGTCACTGTGTTTAAAATGCGCAAAGTATATAGTGTTTCGACTTATACAACTAATTTCAAAATCGAAGATAACGTCAATTAGGCTTATTGCATTACTAAGTGGTCGAAATGCATAAGGGCAATGTTCAGTGTGCATGCCACAAGCACATGCCTGCCTCTCTGTGCAGCTCCCACAGCACGACAGGTTCTTGTTGGCAAATGGAGCTGGAATACACCCTGAATGTGAAGTGAAGGTTGCTCAGGCGTGACAAGTGTTGAGTACATGGGACTCTGAGGACACACAACTCACCAGAATAGAAAATAACAATGGAAAAAGGCACAGTGGAAAACTGTAAATTATAAATTGAATTTGCTGTGGAGACTCTAGCCTAATAAACCAGTGGTCAGTGTGTGATTTATCGTGACTGTAATTGTTTGACTCTGATTCACATTTGTGGGTAGAAATCAGTGGGAGTATATGAGAGGAAAGACAGATTTCCTTATTGTACGAATTTATGTTGTCAAATAACACAGCAGGTCTGTTCACAGAAGATGCAATTTTTTGACTTTCTTACAAGTCATTAAACTGAAATGCTGTAAGCCATCTGGTGTCTGGGCTTAAATGTAAGCAAACATAAGAAAGAGATCCATTTAGCCCTTCCACATCACACTGCAAGGCTTTTCAGCTGAGAGTCATAAGACTTAAGACTTCTCAGTAGAAGATAGATTGTCTTTGTTGTTGTACTGCATGTTCCTCTGTGCTGTGGTTTGGTATTTGTGGGGTAGTTATTTAACTGCTTCTCTTATTTAATTAGTACATCATTGGCCGGGATATACTCATAACACATTTTTGAAAAACTAAAGATAAATGGCAAATTAAACAACCTTTAAGCTTGCCTTGTTAGAATAACGACATTCTGCATACACTTCAGTCCCATTGATTCTTCTTGTACTTTATGTCTTCCAACACCTATTGATTATTATTTTTTCTTTGTCCAGCACTTAACAGGATTGATGTAAATCAGACAAAGGCACATGCGTGGATGTGCACAAGGCCGAATAAGCTTCCATAAAGAACAGCCTGTTTGTTCTCTTTGGCTGATCTGCCCCTTTTTTTATAAGAAATAAACTCGACACAGAACTGTATAAAATCAAATTTGCACTAAGGCACGCACTTATCCCTCAGTTGAACACAATGGGACATTTACCAAATAAAAACAAACTCCATTCACATTTTCAAGTTCACATAATGCTCAATGAAGACCAATCGAATTCATGCGGAAATAAGGATTACAACTATGCCGTTTTTGTTGTATTTCAATTTGCTGTTAAATGTATACAAATTTACAAATTTAAAATTATTTGTGGTTTGTTAAATTACCCTTTTGTACAGCATTAAGGTACATCAAGCTGCAAGTGTGAAACACAAATTCGGTGGGGGGTTTGTCTTTTTTTGGGCCATACCAAATGAGACCTAAACAATTTCTGTGCACATCCCTGAACACATGTGAAGTTGTGTTGCTGTGTGGCATGCAAGGCCTGTTCTGTACTTCTCAGTAAACAAGTTAGCTCCCTGTATAAATATCAGATTCCTGTTTTTTGGCCTTATCCTTGTTCTCTGTAAAAACTCCTATTGTCTCTCCAATGGCTCTCCATTAATGTTTCCCTTTTCACCTCTTTTTTATTGCATCCATTCACTTTTATTCACTTCCCTCCACCTTCTCACCCGATGACCTTGCCTGTAAGTATTTCCCTCCTTGCTGTTTCACTCACTGTCGGTAGATAGATATTGTACATCTGTCTGTCTTTGTGTTTGTGGGTGTGTATCTCTCTTGCATTGTTTGTCATGCAATGTCATGTACACCCAGTCTCACGGCATTTCGTGTTATAGTCACAAAATTAATTTAATCTATTGATTCGTGTTCAACAACACGATTTTCGCATTTGTTTCGTGTCACACAGAACGATTTTAAAAGCAATGTATTTCTATTGGTAGTATGTTTTGTGCCTGCACCACATCTTTTTGTCCGGTCGGGTCTTGGAATACCAGAAGCTGTGTGGTTCATAAAAACATTTTCTTACTCAATATCTTACCCTAAGCCTAACCATCTCTTTTATTTTGAATTGTATGATTTCAGAGTTTTTTTGCCGTCTGCGAGGAGAAGAAATGGGGCTCAGAGCCTCAGAATACTGAAATCTGTATTTTTTGTCTTATTTTTTTCCTTCTAATTTGTTATTATTTACATTGCTTTTAAAATCGTTCTGTGTGACACGAAAAGAATTGCGAAATCGTGTTGGTGAACACGAATCAATAGCTTAATTTCGTGACTATAACACGAAATGCCGTGAGACTGGGTTGGTACATCATGACTTGCTTTTAAAACCTGCCACAATGTGTAACTGTGTGTGTGTGTCGGCTCGCCCTGTCGGAAACGTAAAGGGTGTGTGCCAAAGATAAGAATGTCAGCCATTGGTATCGTGCATCATGTGTATAGGAATTCAATGGATCGGGGCTGGCATGGCTAATGGCTAACAGAACGAAGAGCGATCTATTAGACATTACACTGCATGTCACATCCATTGACTCCCATTGACTGTGCTTTAGTGCAGAGTGGCATCAAAATCATCGCCTCACACCACACATCAAATGACTGTTTGCCGCAGGCTCAGCAGTAACTGAACTCACTTTAATGCTGGTTATTTTCCTTCTGTTGGCTAAAATATTGATCTCCTCTGACAGGGAATTGTGGATATGATCACTGTGGCAATGTAGAGTAAATGTACTGGCTATTCATTAACACATGTTTCCTCTTTGAAGATAGCTTGACATTTTGGTAAATAGCTTATGCAAGTTCTTGTTGAGAGCTAGATAAGAAGACTGTCAAATCTGAAGCTGGTGCCAAGACACAGTCAGCTTAGCATAAATGCTGGAAGCATGGGGAAACAGCTAGCCTGGATTTGTAAAAAGTAACAACATATTCTGAACAGCACCAGCACAAGGTCGCTTATTACCACATTATAAGTTGTTGTTTAATTAATTGAAAAGAAAAAAAAAACTTGCATATTGACTTCCAGGAGTTTTGTTGTCATCGTGAGGTTTCCTGGTAGCAATCAGAGAAACCCAACCCAGTCTCATGGCATTTCGTGTTCACCAACACGATTTTTTATCTTTTGATTCATGTTCACCAACACGATTTCCCCCTTTTTTTCATGTTGCACAGCACGATTTTAAAAGCAATGTATGTCAATGTATAATGAGACTACCAATAGAAATACATTGCTTTTAAAATCATGCTGTGCAACACGAAAAAAAGGGGAAAATCGTGTTGGTGAACACGAATCAATAGATAAAAAATCGTGTTGGTGAACACGAAATGCCATGAGACTGGGTTGAGAAACCAGATAGTCACTGTTCCCGGCCAAGAAATAGTCTGGCACATTTTCCCTTGTAAAAACATAACTTGTTGTCTGTTCTCATCACAATTCAGGTATGTTCATTGAAGGTGCTTTAGACATTTATTTGTAAGCATTGCAAGAGGCTAGCTGTTTCAATCGTCATGCTAAGCTGAGCTAACAGTCTACTGACGCAAGCTTTGTATTTAAGGGACAAATAAGAAAGAGGTATCACTCGCAATGAATTTTAAATAATTTCTAGTAACCTTGGGTTTGTCCATTTTTCTTCTTTCCTAACTTAAACCTTTGCAGACAATCATGTGGACGCAGCCATGAAAAGCAGGACAAGCGAGGACATTCTCCGATCCTCCAGACTGTCCACCTACTCTCCTGAGCCATACACCCAGTCAGAGGCTGACTACTACCCGTACACCAGCTCCCCCAGGGGTAGGAAACAGTGTAATTTCAAGAGTTGAAAATGGCAAGCCGCCTAGTAAGCTGAATATTTTCATTTTACGCTGCACCAAACACAGACACTCAGTTCCTCTAACTGTGTTGTCATGTTTATTTACTCAGCCACTACTTTCCACTTTGAACTCTTTATTCATACAAGGGAATCTCTTTTATCTGTTTTCTCTCTCAGCCTATCGTGTGCCAAAAAGACGCTTCTCGACAGGAGGAGATGAAGAGAGTTGGAGTAACAGTCTTCAAAGAGTAAGGCCTTCGTTATTTTCTCTCTGTCTTCAACATCTAGATGAAGAAAGTCACCTCCAGAAACACACATTAATAATGCACTTCTTATGGTGTGGTGCCTCCTTTTCTTCATTAGCATCTTCCATAATCTTGCATTCACTGTACAGTACATTAAATCAACCCCTTACACCTCTTTATTCTTTTATCCCCTTCTGTCTCAATTCCTCGCTGTGTCTCAGATCGGGAGTGGCATCGGGAGGATGATCCTAAAGGAGGAGATGAAAGCAAGATCTGGTTCCTATGACAACGACCCCTGGGGCAGTGCGAGGAATTCTCGTTGTGGGAGCAAGGAAACACTCAACACTACAGGCTACGGCACCTCGACATACAACAACACTGTCAACGGATGTAAGGATCCACCCTGCCCCCTATGCATCTTTCTCTTTGTCCCGTCTTCTTCCTTTTCTCTGCTAGTACATGTCTCTGCCCTTCCATTTGTTATCATATGTGCTGCCACAAGGGCTTTCTTTTACGAGCCTCAATATCAGCTGTCACTTCGTCAGTCAGGTTGTGGATGCAGGTCAGAGAGGGTCATGGCTGCTGCAAGCAGGGTGCTTTATTAAGATATAAAGACAGCTGAACAGCTGCTGCCAAACCTGTGGTAGGCCAGCAGCTGCGACAGATGTGGCCTGTCATTGTTCTAAAGATATATGATCACAATGATTCAGAACATTTCAAGCTACTGAGAGAAAACGTCCAATCAAGATGTGATAAACCTGAATAGAGCGAGTTGTTTCTTTTCGAGCGAACCATGTTTGAACTGGGACTATTATTGAAGCCCCAATATTAAGACACCAGCCCGTCTCCATCACTATCCAATAGTTCCCTTCCTTTTTCTATTTGAATGTTTCTCCTCTTCTCCCTCCTGACATCGCTCTCTAAATTCTACTCTGTTAACCAACTCTCCATCTCCATCCATCTTTCTGAGTATCTATCGCACTCTCCCGCTTTCACAGCTGGTGTCCCATATTCTGGTTTATTAATGAGCAGTAAGATCTCTCATTAATGCTGCTTCTCTGATGGGAGGGAACACAACTGAACGGGACTCTGTTGGCTCCGGTTGAAAGGCAACAAAGGCTTGTATCCGTACAAGCTGTGTTATGCAATTACATGATGGAGCGTGCAGTGGGTCTTTAGCCCGTATTTTGTTTTCATATTATTTTATTTCCCCCCTTGTTCCCCGTGCCATGCCTGGTCTCTTTCTGCCTTAGTGCAGCTTTGATGTTTCATGTTCCTCCCAGGGCTTGATCGGTAACCAACTTTCTGGATCGCTGTTTATTTGTTACGCCTCTAATAACATATATATACAGTATACTAAGACAGATGGCAGTCAAATTTTAAAGCAATTTTAGAGCAGGGCAGATTAAAAATGCAGTTCTTTTTGGTAGTAAGTGAAATGTTATAAAATGATATGATCTCTTCATTTTACAGCTCCCAGATCTCAGTACAGCGCTGATAGTGGTAAGTTCATCATTTGTATTTCATAAATATTGTATGATTGAAGCGTAAAATAGAACAGTTCAGGGTTATAGTTCATTTAAATGGTAGCTGTTTTATATTAATTTGTATGATGTGTGTCATTCACTGATCTTACATCAACAAACCTCAAGCTTTATGCCCAAACATCTGGAACTTTAGATGTTTTTGTTAATCGTGAGCGCCATCTTCTGGCACTGACCTGGCACTGATCATAATATTCCAAAGTGCCAAACCACATGGAAATAATTGGAAATGTCAGAAACTGTTGGCTTGAAAAAGCTCATAGTGTACTTTTGCTTACTTTCTTTAGATTTAGTTTGTAAGTCCTCCTCGCTACCAGGATACGGACGCAACGGGATCCAGAGGGTGAGACCACAGTGACACAACTATGTGATTAGCTGTATCAGTTATAAAGGCTAAGAAGCTTATTTTTTTATCTGGATCTGACAATTGCTTTTAACCTAGAGGAACTGACAGTTTTATAATTGTTAGTTGTTTTTCCCCCTAAATGAATAACATATGTTAAGGTATCTCAGGCAGAAAATATATGCAAGTATCTGTAAATACCAATTCGCTAACGTTCTTTTCCCCCGCAGCCCCAGAGTGCAGATTGCTATCAGTACCAGCATGAAAGTGGCAGCGAAGTCAATTGGGGAGGCAAAGGTAATTTAATATGAATGTAAAACACTTACTCCTTATTAGTATGAAGCAATTAATTCAATGTTTTTTTTTTCTCTTGTACTGACTTAATTTTCTTTCTTTCCTCCCAGCAGAATACACGGTAAGGTTTTACATTAATAACTTGAATAATTCATTACATGTGTTAGCCTTAATGTTGAATAATCCCAGTGTTATTGTAGCTAAGTGTCAAAGCTTGTTAAAGTATGCTTCTCCTCCCTTCAGATTTTCCCCTATGAGGCGCTCATTGTCACCACCAGAGGTCGCATCAGGCTGCCCAAAGATGCAGACCGTGCCAGACTGGAGGTGAGTTATGAATGGGCAATTACACTAACTGTGCTGGGAAAGAAATTTTACATGGTTTCATTTAAAACTAGCACCGTAGCTAAGTCTTTGACAAATACAAAGGCTGTATCTGCAATAACCACCATCCCATGAACCCTGACAAGCTACTGACCAAACTCTGGGAAATGTGCTTGGTATTTATAAATATGTATTTTTATTGATGTGTTCATATACCTGTTCATATCTGTCAATTTGATCTCCTTTCATTATTGCCTGGTTATGTAATAATAGTAAACATTTCATTTAAAAACGTAAAGAAAAAAAAATCTGCATTTTATCCGTATTAACCCTTAGATGCATAAGTGGGTATTTTTTGACCCGGTGAGCTGGTTATCTTGAAGTATCTTTGTAATTACCTTTTTTTTTGTTCATTTCATATTCCAGCTGTTCTTCAAAAAACATGTTTTGGATATCATGCCATTCAAATTTTAAATTTACATTTTAAGAAATTGTAGTTTTTGTATTACTACCCCAAGCTTCCACAAGTGGGTCAAAAATGACCCGCATGCATTTCCTATGGGATCCAATGGGAACCTTTGATTCTTATC